TTTTATGTTAAAAACTTTTTCGAAGTCGATAAAAGCAGTGAGTTTAACGGTTAAATTACTCGTATCATTATAAAAAAGATATTAATTGTTTTTCTTAAATACACAATACTTTAGTCACAGAATAATAAACAATCAGAATGCCCACTCTGCTTGTCAAGATAAGTACGCGCATCTAGCTCGCGCAGACGGAATCATGTTTTAAACGGAACCACTGTTGTTCAGTGAAATTTTATCTGATGTGCATAGAAAAATTAACCCGGTTTAATTTATTTACGGCAATCATAAAAATAATATGCAGTATTTTATTCGTACTTTTAGTTGAAGAATAGATTAAATTATTTTAAATTTACTAAATTATTCATATTTAAAAATTTTAATTACAGTTCTATCGTAGCTTGTCACAAATTTCTCAATCCGAGTCTATGTTTTCGTTTAAAACTGAAGATATTTTGTGAAAACGATATTTCCGTCACAAAACTTTAGGGGAAGTATTCTAAACATTTTAAATAATTTTGTATTAACTGTCATTATACAAAATATCATAAAACCATCGAAGTTCATTTCTCTGTTTAAAAAGGGCAACGCATTCCTCTTAGTTCATTTGCTATATTGCATGTTGGGATTCGATCAGTTGTTTATTTTGTATTTAGTCAGAGTCCTTCTTTAAGTCAATAAATCAAAATTTAAATGAAATCGTAGGCTTCCACGGCCAGAGTCAGAATTATAGTTTATTCGTCTTCCGGGTTTGGACCGTGTCATTTGTGAGTGACCCAAAAGTGGGTTCATCTCGACGTTTCGCTACAATTGTATGTAGCTTCTTCAGGAGAACAAAGAAAAAGAAAACAAAAGACAGAAAGATGGGTAGTTAGCAACGGTAACTCAGTTACTCAACGCAACCAGAGGCGAATACTAACTACCAAGATGGGCATTTGGTCACAGTAACTCAACTACTCAACGCAGCCAGAGGTGAAAACCAAATGCCAGGACAGGGATTCACGTTCAACAGCTCAGAACACTAACGCGTCGAGAGGCGGGAGTGACGCCTCTCACAAATGACACGGTCCAAACCCGGAAGACGAATAAACTATAAATCAAAATTTGTCTTATAGTAAATCTATTTTTATCTATAGTGCTCTATGATACCTCGTATGTCGCTATACGTTCAATAATAATGAAGATACTGTGTTGTGCCCTTTTGGTAGTCGCCTTGTCTAGTTTTTCTATCTGAATATATTCGTTATATCCTTTTCTTTCATTTGTTGTGTCTGCGTCAAATAAACCAAAATTTGTCTTGTGGTTAAATTATTTTTATGTATAGTGCCCTATCGCATCTCGTATGTAACTATATTTTAATTAATAATCTTTAATATATTCGGGTATCCCTCTCTTTCATTTAACGCATCACAGGCTACAATAGGACCAAACACCGACAATTCCCTACCCAGTCTCCTTTCCAATGATGTATCATACGTCACGATCTGACGAACTATACTACGCCTACTAAAAACCGCTCAAAAAGTTATTTAATTTTACCTAATTCTGTTTAACTTGATTTAATTCTATTTAGTTATTTTATTGTTGTAAAACGTTGACGTTTGTTAAACGTCATCTTATTTTTGTAGTAAGTGTATGTTTATTTTACCCTTAGACAAGGAAAGAGAGAGGACGCGTAACCGTATCGCTAAAAGTGAAGCCAAACTGCCACCAAGGAAGTGGTCAGCGGTGTATCTTTGTATTTTTAAGAATTGACTTATTCGTATTTAAAATGAAACATTTTGGACATTAAATGTTTTATTTACTTTATTTTATTTTATACAAATATTTTGGATTTTTTTTTTATTTAAATTAATGTTCCGGCTGCAATGGCCATTGACACAAACAATATAATATACAATATATATATACAATAAGCACATATTACTAATTGCTACAGTTACTCTATAGGCTTAGAACCTATGATTAAATAATACATTAGTTTTATCACTAAGTTAAATATAAGTTAAGGTAAAGTACAAGAAAAACAAGGGGTCACATTCTGTTAAACAACTGAATGTCTTTCAAGAAACCAATTAGGTTAAATACTTGATCGGCGAGTTTAAAATGTCTTTGATATTTGGCTTAAGTTTATGTTGCACTCTGTGTTTTGCGTACCAGGGACACTCGATTAGGATATGTTTCACAGTTAATACACTTGAGCAGATTTGGCAATTGGGCTTCGGCTCGGATTTCATTAAATACTCTATGTGTAAATCGGGTATGTCCTATTCTTAACCTTCGGATGACAGCTTTTTCGTTTCTAGACATTTTTGGAAGTTCAAATTTTTCAACAGTTTGCCGGATCTCATGTAATGCACTCTTGATTGTGTTCCAATCTTGGCTGATTGGTCTGCTTTTTCATTACCAGAGATGCCGATATGGGATGGTAGCCAGATGATCGTGACATCTACACCTTGAAAAGCGAGAGCACTGTGTATCCTATAGATTTCTTGCACTAAGGGATGCTGAGAGTATGGGCTTTTAATCGATTGTAGTGGCGACAGGGAGTCTGTGCATATTGCTTGGTTTTTATGATCTGTTTTTAGTTTTTTAAAAGCCTTTAGTATCGCATAAAGTTCTCCAGTATATACGCTGCATATACTCGGTAAAAAAGATGATTTTATTACTTCATCATGTATGGTAACGGCACATCCAACGCCTGCTTCGCTTTTGAAGGCATCTGTATACAAAATTATTTGGAATTTGTTCTGCTTATGATTTCTTTGAAGTGTTGCCTTATGAGAAGGCTTGAGGTTTCATGTTTACTGTATTCTAATAAGGAAGTGATTGAATGTGGGATTGGTGTATTCCAAGGCGGAGTATCTGGGATTGGGAAGGGATGTGTTTTAGTAAGGTCGATGGTGTTTCTTAGAGTTAATTTTGGATATCTATTATTGATTGGATCCTTTGCGAGGTCTCCGGAGGCGATGTTGAAGTAATTAAATGGTAGACTGGATTGGATGGGTTTGCGGATACGGAAGCAAAGTAAGATTGAACAAGATACTTTCGTCGAATCCAGAGAGGTGGTTCATTAGCCTCGCAGTAAAGGCTATCTATAGGACTAGATTTGAAAGCGCTTAAGCAAAGACGAATAGAAGTGTTATGCACAGAGTTCAGTAGCTTCTAAGTCAGATTTTGATGCAGACATGTATATGATGCTGCCGTAGTCCAGTTTTGAGCGGATTAAAGCTCTATATATATATATATATATATTAAGTAAGATGGTTTCGTCCGCACCCCATGTGTACTTTGATAGTGCCTTAATGATATTGAGTCTCTTCATTGCATTGCCCTTTAATACACTAATATGCTGTTTCCAAGTTAGCCTACTGTCAAACGTTAAACCAAGTATTTTTTGATGGGTGACTAGTTGCAATGAAGTTCCATTAAGGGTGATAATTGGACTTTGGCTGCAGGGTCTTCTGCTAAACCGTATTAATTTTGATTTAGTCGTTGAAAGAGCTAATCCGGTTTTTTTGGACCATTCGCTAAGTTGATTTACAGCGGTTTGGAGTACGTTGCAGGTGGCGATTGTACTTTTTCCCTGACAATATAAAATAAGGTCATCTGCATATATTAAGTGCTTGACTGGTGGACAAATACTGGAACAAATATCATTTATTGCAAGAATGAACAGTGTTGTACTAAGTACAGAACCTTGTGGAACTCCATTATTTTGCCCGAATGTCCCCGAAATTTCTCCATTTGTTTTCACTTTGAACGTTCTTTGTTGTAAAAAGTTTTTTATGAAGGAGTAAATATTTCCTGTTATCTTGTATTGACGAAGCTTTTCAAGAATGGCTTGACGCGAGATAGTATCGAAAGCTCCTTCAATATCAAAGACAGTAGCGATCAAATCCTGTTTGTTTGAAATAGCGGAAGCTATTTGTGTTTGTAATAGCACTAAATTGTCTAGGGTTGAACGGTGACGTCTGAAACCGGATTGCGATGAGTCAATTATTGCATATTTTTCGAGAAGCCATTTTAATCTTGAATTAATCATTTTCTCAAACAGTTTACATAATGAACAGGTTAGAGAGATAGGTCTGTAGGATTTTGTTAGGTTTGAGGGTTTATTGGTATGATAATTGATTCACGCCACAGTTTGGGCAATTGCTGAGTATGCCATATCTTTTTATAAAGATTCAGCAGTGTTGCGAGGCTGGAATGAGATAAATTTTTGATGAATATAATTGGGATATTGTCTGGTCCAGCGGCGGAGTTCCTACAAGAGGATAGTGCAAGTGCTAATTCTTCTTGTGTAAAAGGAAGGTTAATAGCATCAATGTCGTGACTACTAATTTGTAGATTAAGAGAAATTTGTATATTCTGGTCATTTGGACTTTCAATCTGTTCGACATCAGACCTAAATTTCCATGTAAAACTTTCAACCATGATGTGAGCAATTGTCTGGTTATCTGTTATAACTTTTCCATTCAATGATATTGCTGGAATTTTTATAGGTGTGTTATGACCTTTTATTTGTTTTATTTTTATCCAAACTTGGATAACTAAACTCTATTTTGGAATTAAAACTAACGAAATTTATTTATTTATTTACTTATTTATGGAATTTTATGGAATATTTTATGGAATTTTCAACCCTCAACGCACACCGCCGCTGGCAAATCATCATGGTGTGTGAGTGAAATTATTAATTATAATATAATTACTGAAATAACTCAGTACTGTTATTTCATCGACTTCTTCCATTTCGGTATTGTCTAACTGTGCCATTATTTTGACTGTTTATTATTTATAACTAGAGTTCTTCTTTATGGCTTGTGCATTGATCTTGGTTGGTTATTTTTAATTTTAATATATGTTTTTAATTTATTATATATGTATATTCGTTCTCGACGTCAGAAATATATTTATCACAGCATTTTTGGTGAGATTATCGTCTTAGCTGTCTAGCTAAGTATGTATTACAAATATATATTATCAGTCAAATGTAAAGATATATTTTCATCAATAAATTACATTATTTCATAATTAATAATATACATAAGAGGCAGCATATGGTGAATACGCAGAATATGCAGCAGGATACACAGCGGGAGCTACATAACTAGAATAGGCAAGAGGTGCATCGACGTACGCAGAGGAGTATGCTACAGCAGGAGCAGCTACAACTGGAGCAGCTAGAAGCTGAGCTTTTGGATCAGCTTTTGGTGCGGGTTTTGGTTCTGGAGCTGGTACAGCAACAGATAGAGCCAAAAGGGCAGCGATTAATACCTGAAACAAATAATTTATGTTTTTAAAATTTTTTTGTAGAATCCCACCTATCTTTAATGTAACCACCAAATAATCAGAATAGGTAGTAGTCATAGTGATCTATAAAATTAGCGTGAGCAAAAATAGATTTATTATCCTGAATAAACTGAACAAAAAAATGTAATAGAAATTAACCCCAACCATAAAAATGAAATTGCTTAATTTGACTTCTAGATCGGAAATCATTTTAAAAGACAATCTGAAAATGGTCATTTTGTTATAAAACACTATTGTAAAACGGGTTTCGTTGTGAACCAAACAACTTCAAATGAAATAAGTTATATAAAAATAAAACAAAAAAAAATAGATAAAATTTTAAAATTATAGTTATTTTTCCGTTAGGTATTAACTGAAAAGGTAAAATTCTTAATGATAAAAGGGAATTAGTTACTGTTAAATTGGGAATAAGTCACAATTAAAGATAAAAATACGTTTATTGACGTTTCAATTTCCACTTCGGAAATCGTTCTCAAAATACAAACAGTAAATAAACAATAAACTATTTTGTATTTTGAGAACGATTTCCGAAGTGGAAATTGAAACGTCAATAAACGTATTTTTATCTTTAATTGTGGCTTATTCCCAGTTTAACAGTAACTAATTTACAATGCCACAAGAAAATAGCTTCAGAACAATATGATAAAAGGGAACATTGTAAGGATATTGCCTCAAAACAATAAAATAAATAGGCAATAATTATTTAACACCTTGAACGCCACATACACAATGAGAAAAATATCCACTAGGCCAATAATTTTTTATGTATTCCGGTTTAGAAATTTAAAGAAAACATTTAGAATATATTTTTTTGCGGTCCCCTAGGAATAATACTAATTAGTTAGTTAAAGTTACAGGCATTAAAATCCATGGAATTAATGTCAACAATCTCAGATAAGCAGACGACATGGTACTTATTGCCTCCAATAAAGAAGACCTGCAGCGACCTCAAAACTTAATACTTCTAAAACAAAATTTATGGTTGTCAGCAAAACGGAGTTACAACCAATGAACATCAGAGCGTATGAAATAGAGTTAGAAAGAGTCCACAAGATAACCTACTTGGGTGCAAACGTTAACGATAACTGGGATATAAAAAAGAAATAAGAATACGCATTGAAAAACCAGAGCCGCCTTCTATAAATTAAAGAAAATTCTAATTAATAGAGATATTACGTTAAACCTTAGAATAAGATTAATACGCTGCTACATATTCTTCACATTGCTTAACATAGTTTTACATCGAATGAAAAAGAGCACAGAAATAACAAAAACGATAAAAAATAGAAAGTTACAATATTTCGGACATGTAATGAGACATCCAGAGAGGTATAATCTTCTACACCTCATAATACAGGGTAAGATCGCTGGAAGGAGAGTCTTGAAGGAAAGGAGGAAGGAGGACTTGAAGAGGCTTATATTCAGATGTGGACGTGAATGGCTAGACGAAGAAGAAGAAGAAGAAGAAGGTGAACAAAAATTAGTTCCTTGGGACTGATTTTATTGTACAATAAGTAAACGTAGTAGAAAAAAAGCAATATCATCTTATAGCGATGGTATGTATTTCCTGTAGTCTAAATCGACCATATTTATTACAAAAAATTCAACACCAGAAACAAACTAAAACATTTTTTGGGTATCGTGGCTTATATGGGTTTGGTCAAATTACTTAGGTTAGAATGTTATCGAAATAAACCAAAAATATATCAGATTAGTGTGGCTGGTAAAAAAATTATTGCAATATTTAAAACTTTTTTAAACTTTTGGCATTTTAGTGATAACCAAATGGGCCCTGAAGAAGAACGTGGTCATAAAATAGAGCCTTTAGTTAATATTATAATAAAACAATTTTAAAATGTTTACACTAAAATCCAAGAGCTTTGTATCGATGAAAGTTTAGTGACATTTCGTGGTAGACTCATAATAAAACCATCTTGTATTCCACAGAAGACGCATCAATTGAGCGTGAAATTGTTTAAATTATCTTTGAGTACCGGTTCTACTGAAATATTAAATTATATTGAGGAAAACGCAGAAATGTTGGGATGTTTGTGCTTACTAAAATAATTATGTAGTTATCAAGAACACCTTTTAATTCAGGTGAAAAGACAGACAAAATGTTTTAAATAACTTCCATAAGACAGTACCACAAGTTCGTAAGAAGCTCAAGCTATTCTGGAATATACTAAAGCTAAAAGTTCGACTGATATCTTTAATAAAAAGTCTAGATATAATGGTACCCTACAAACAACTTTAAAATGATACAGAAAAATTACCATCGAACTTATATTTGGTACTGCTCTTATAAAAGCACTTAATAAGATATTAAGTGGTAAATCTATACAAATTACGGAATTTAGGAAAAGGTCGTAGAGAGTTATAAGTTTTTAAAAAATGTCAGAGAATGGGCAAGAAACGCCTAGAAATACACGAAAAAAATGAAACTTACACACTGAGAAAAAAAAAGGTCTAGCTCATAAAGCTACACATTATTGTAAAGAATGTTATGTCTATGCAAGACAAGGATTTATAAAAATGAAAACAATGTTTGTCAATCGAGACCCTCCTCTGAATATGAGGACAAGAGCCTTAAGATGCTAGTGTTCTCGACTGTGTTGTATGGAATGGAAAGCTGGACACTAAAAGTGGATAATATAAAGAAGTTGAAATCATTTGAGATGTGGTGCTATAGAAGGATTTCCTGGCTAAGAAACCTAAGAGAGTGGTATAGTTGCTGCTCAGTCGATATTTTTAGAGCAGCTGCCAATAAGGTACGGATAGCTGTGATGATAGCCAACATCCGATAGGAGAAGGAACTACAAGAAGAAGAATGTTACAATTCGAAATAGCGAGGACTTATGATAAAAACAACAAAGTTTCTTAAAGCTACAACATACTGAACAGTGGTGAAGGAAATCCCTATTTTTGCTTTGATTATTTTAGCATATATTTTACACATAGATCTAGAGGAGTTTATATTATATTTCAATTTACTGGTGTGATTTTTGAAATTAAAACATGTCTTGAAGAGAGTACGTAATTTGTGCTTTTTTATAATTTAATAATTACCAAGTTTACACAGTTCCCCCAAGCCAAAGCGGTCCATATAAGTGTTTAAACTAGTTAATATAACGGCCCGCAGGCTTGCGGAGAATCTGAAAATGACATGAATACTCAGCAATCCGCTGGGACTGCTGTGGCCTGGTCAACATTTCATTCGTCGTTCCCTACGGCCCACCATCGCGGTTCAGCATGTGAATAAAAATTGCTAGTTTTACAAGCATTAACCAATAAATACTTTGAAAAAAGTGTATGAAAAAGTATTAAAAAAGAATCTATGATTTTTCTGGGGTTTGCGGTTGTTATGACTACGACTTTTACTCTAATATTAAAAAAAAAACAAATACAACGCTCAATTGGAAAGATCTGAAATTAAAAAATAATACCGAAAATCACGACAAAACTAACTTTTGATTTTTTAAATAACGACCAAAAACGCTTTGTACTTACCAATTTAAACATTTTGCTTTTAGTTCTGATAATTGGCTTTGAACTGTATGTAATATATTGTGTTATTTGATAAACATTATAAAACTTTTTTGTATTTATACAAAATAAAATCTTACACTAAGATACAAGTGGGGATAGTAACCTTGTCAAATATTTTAACTAGAATATTTGATATTAACTGTTGCATTGGTAAATCATGATCAGAATATCAAGTATCATTATTCATATTATTTTCACGTTAGCGGTCAACATGGAACGTAGGTCAATTCGTAGGTCTAGGTTAACAATACTTGTGTCATAATGAGAAAAATGTATGATGTTTTTGTAATATAATACTTAAATTTAATTGATGTAAGAAATTAATGCAATTAATATTCCAGTAAATGATCGTTTTGGAGTGTAATTTTCCTTGTCATGATTTTTCACCAATTTATTACCACCCTTATTAATTTTCACCACCAAACCACTCTTACGGGAAGCAATTCTATTTGAACTTTTTCAAACTAGCAGAATTCAAAAAAATATATATTTATGATATTATTAGGGTATTGATTAAGATGTGACAAATGACTAGGGTGGTAATAAATTCGTAAAAACCTAGCAGAACACTGTGGTATTTCAAAGATATTTTTTTTTAATTCCGCTAAACCCAACAAAATTATTGACCTAGATCAGGAGTCTCCAAACTACGGCCCGAGGGCCACATCCGGCCCGCAGACAGATTTTGTCCGGCCCGCGGAGACATACTTGAAAACTCCTTTTAGAGAACAAATATTTTTTATAGCAAATAAAATGTTTGTGATAAGTTGGATAAAGAAACACAGAATGGTAATGAGTAAAGACATGTATAATTTATGCAGTAAATTTAACTTCAGCATATAATAACTAACAAATTATTGAAATGCATCCAACTAACATTTTATACATTGTAAGTAATAAACAACACATACCTTATAACAAACATGACATATGAAATGCTAATGAGATGTATGTAATTGAGATTTTCCACCGACAATAGTTTGTAGTTGTGGACTAATTTTACTTGTACCAATTATTAAAAGAGATTTAAGATGCTCGTCAGTTAATTTAGATCTGTATACATTTTTTGTGTACTTCATTTTGGAGAAGGTTTTCTCACACAAATAAGTAGTACCAAAAACGGAAAACAGCCCACGAGCAAATTTATGCAAATTATCAAATTGTGTCAGTTGAAGACTCTTATAAAATTCCAACAAAGATGAGTTTTCATATTTTTTCTTAATTATATCACTGCACTGAAGATCAATAATTTCTATTTGAAGTTCCGGGGCTAGTTCGGTCTTCAATGTCAGCATCAAAAGTCCGAGAAACGAGTATCAAAATTTATCTTCAAAGCACTCAAAGTTTCGATTGCAAAATCGATAGGAAACTCAGTCTCAGTAGTGTGGCTGAATATTTCACATGTTTTAAAACGCGAAAAACATTTACTTCGTAGTTGTGATTGAAACAGTATCAATTTCATCCGGAATGACTTGATATTAGTGTATAAATCAGGAAGATGCTGGTTTTCTCCTTGCAATCTCAAATTCAGTTCGTTCACATGTTTTGTCAAATCAACATAGAATGCTAACTTCCATAGCCATGCGTTGTTTTGTAATTCAGTAAGAGGGCGGTGCTTTTTATTCAAAAAAATTTCGATCACTGCTCGAAGTTCAAAAAAGCGCTGAAGGACTTTCCCACAACTAAGCCAGCGTACGGCAGTATGATAAGGTAAGTCTGTTTCTCCAATCTCTGCAATAAATTGTCGGAATTGTCGGTGATTCAACCCAAAAGATCTGATGAAATTAACAGTTGATATGACTGGTTTCAGAACGTCAGACATATCCAAACATTTTCCGCACAAAGACTGTTGATGAATGATACAATGTAAGACTAATGGTTTTGAGCCGCCGTCATTTTCTACAGCCTTTGACACAAGAGCGACCACTCCTTTATCTTTCCCACTCATGTTTTTGCCTCCATCAGTTGTAATATATTTCAAGTTTTTCCATCGAAGGTTCTTTTTATTAATGGCCATTTCAACTCCTTTAAAAATATCGGTATCAGTAGTTGTGCCATGAATACTATACATATCAAGAAGTTCTTCGTGCACTTCATAGCTTTTATCTACTCCTCTAATATAAATCAACACCTGAGCAGTATCTGACACATCCGTTGACTCATCCAAGGCCAAAGAAAACCACTTAACATGTCCATTTTTGTCGAACAGTTGAGAGGATATATTTTCAGCGATGTTTTCTACCCTTCGAGCCACAGTGTTTGCTGACATACTGACAGTTTTTAATAAATTTACTTTTTCAGGGCACATTTCTTCGACTACTGCAATTATGCATTCCTTGATCATTTCTCCATCGGTGAATGGTTTTCCACGTTTTGCAATTTCAAGAACCACACGAAAGCTGGCACGAGTTGACGCCTCTTGTTCAGTTTTGACTTTTGTAAATAAAGATTGCTGCGATTTCAATCCGCACTTCAAAGCTTCGAATTTTTCTGTCCGCACAATTCCTGTATATTTTGAGTAATTTTGAGAATGTTTTGTTTCATAATGACGTTTCATGTTATATTCTTTAAGAACGGCTATGCTTTCATTGCAAATCAAACATAGCTCCTTGTTACTGGACTCAATTACGAAATACTGAATGTTCCACTGATCTTTGAATTTTCTGCATTCACTATCAATTTTTCGCTTCTTTTCCATTCTACTAAATCACACACAAAAGCAACAATTCAAATCAAATCAAAATACTGTTACACGCACAAACTTGTTTTAAGGAGGTACGCCCTATTTTATTTCACAACAGTTTCATAGGAACTGACTTGTAGTTACGCCACTATTGTCATCGCTTCGTCCTCGCACTCGTCCCACTTAGGTGGGATCTTTAGTCTCCTCCCAGTTATCAGGTGCGTAACACTTAAGTGATTTGCGGCTATTATTTTTCAGACTTCTTATTATTTCGGATAGTTAAGTGTGTTTGTGACAATTTCTAACGATGGCGTTGAAAAATAGTAGAAAGAATAATTATGTTATTAGTGGACAATCTCGGGAGAGATTGGAGATTTCCACTGGTGGAAATATTTTGTTTGTTTATGTCTACCTTGTATTAAATTAAAATATATCAAAAATAGGTGAATATTTGACATACTTAATAATGTTGACAGCTTACCACACTTACAAAAAATTAAATTATTCGTTATTTTACAAAAAATGATCCACACTTCAGCAAAATTCTATTACACATTAAATACAGAAATATATAAAATATATAAATAATATTAAAATATAAAAATATATATATAAAATACAGTGTTGCCATCTTGTCCCTCGGAACTTACTGGAGTAATCAGTATGGCCCTAAAGCTGGAAAGTTTGGAGACCCCTGACCTAGATGATTGACCAATCGCGAAAAGTAGTGATCCCCAGAAGAAATTGAATGTCTGTGGGAATTAGATAATAATATTCAGTTTTATTTTATTTTGGTATTTGTATAAATATGTGTATTTAATATCTAATAGGAATTTAAATAAAAAAATCTAATCTTGAGACGATTAGGTTAAAAGTAGAGATGATTTTTTAAATTTGCAGCTAATTGAATAATAATTAAGGAACGTAATTTATTTTAAAGATAAACGCTTAAAGTTTTATTAAATGGTAGAAAATCAAATATAAAACAATGAATAATTTGAATTCTGTTATGTTAGAAAAAATATATTTTTCTAATTAAATAAACAAAAATTCTTCTTGTTCAAGTGCCCTGTCCGTTGCGAACGTTGGCTATTAGCATCGCAATTCTGAACTTGTTTGAGGCGCTTCTGAATAGTTCAACCGATGTGAGCCCGAACAACTTCCGCCGATTTTGAAGCGACGAGTCTCTTCTCCTGCCTGGCCCTCGCTTACTGCCTATTTTCCCCAGGACAATCAATTGCAGTAGACGGTACTTATCGTGTCTCAATATGTAGCCTAGATATTCAAGCTTTCCTTGTTTTCTTGTGCTCACGATATCTTTCTCCTTTCTGATTCTTAGGATTACCTCTGTGTTGGTGACATGTTCGGTCCAGGATATACGAAGAATGCGTTGGTACACCCACATTTCGAATGCTTCTAGTTTTCTCGTGAGCGTCTCCATCAGCGTCCAGGCCTCCATACCATATAGTAAGATCGGAAAGATGTAGCATTTAACTAGACAAGAGACAAATCCTTGCTTATGAGGAGCTTTTTAATATTGTTAAATGCAGCTCTAGCTCGTTCTATTCTTGCCTTAATTTCTGTGGCCTGTTCCCATTTTGCATTTACGTTGGTGCCAAGGTACACATAAGATTCTACATGGTCAATTAGTATGTTACTTATTCGTAATTGTAGAGGAGCTTGTTGCTTTTTGCTTATCAGCATCTACTTTGTCTTTTTGAAGTTGAGACTAAGGCCGTATTCGTCTATGGTACTGGCAAGGATCACCGTGTCGTTGGAATATCTTATATTGTTCATTAACTCGCCGTTTATTTTTATGCCCTCATTTGCATTTTCCATACAGTTTTTAAATATTTCCTCGGAATAAATATTGAATAGGAGTGGTTACATGCTTGACGGACATCTCTTTTGATCTGCACACTTCCAAATATATTGTCCAAATATATTGCCTCCAATTCCAGAAAAAATCTGGAATTGGAGGCCATATAAAGGCAAAAGTCCACGAGGAAGATCGCAAATGCAATGGAGCGACGATCTTAAAAGAACTGCAGAGCCAATGTGGTAAGGTCTTACAAACAACAGAGATGAATGGCGAGAATTAGAAGAGGCATATATTCGGCAGTCCGAATATAAAAAAGGGCTTAAAAAAATTGTTAATATTATTGTATATCTGTTATTTAAACAATAAGTACATGCACATTAAAAAACATGATTAAAATTTATGAAGTACAACGGGAGATACAGAAACTTTAAATTTTCAATTTTTTAAAAGCTTGGTATTTTAGTTTCCCATACACACCCCCCTACTTTTATTATTTTAGCCTCATT